GTCACTTGTCAGTTCACAGTGATGCTGGCAACGTAATTACTAAGTCATGGCTCAGTGTTAATTGGGTTACCAAAATGAAAAGAGAAACTGGCCCTCTTTCCTTTTAAATTAAATCTTGTGTTGTGTTCCTGGTCAGATAGGAATATAATCCAGAGGGTCTAACTATATAAATTAGCTGTAACATTTACAATTCAACTTTTATTTGATTATGAATTTCTCTTTTATCTCACACTAAAAGAAGCTATAAGGAAATACAGCATTACTCACCCCCTGGTTAACTGACGTGAGAGCACAGGTTCACAGGACCTGGTCCCAAGCTACAATATACTTGTTATTATTTCTTTTTTTCCTAGTTCTTGCTTAATAAAAAAAGGGGGGATAGAAAGAGAAGCTGTGACTGAAATAGTTACTTTCATGATGTGTTTCTTCCACAGTGCTGGAAACCCTGAGATAACAGCCTTGTATTCAAATATGAGAGGCAGAAAATGTAATTTACTTGATGCATTAAGTGAAACAGAGTAGAGGGTTTTTTTATAATCATCTGCAGGAGGTGAAATATTCACAGTAACTAATGTACAATGTCCATTTGATTTTCAATATTTTTCAAATTTTAGTAACCAATAAATAGATAACATAGCAGTGATTTTCACCGAAAGATCGTTTTGTTGCCGGTGTTGGAGTAATGAATATAAATAACCACAGAGCATCACTTCCTGTGTAGAAAGCAAGCACCCATCTTGGTTTACAGGTAGAGAGACAACAGAAAATATTTGGTTACATAAATTCCCCTTCTAAAATTTTAACTGAGCAGATCTCCGCTCTCTGTCCAATTGGTGTCCCCGAAGACATCAATCATCTTGATCCTAACTTTCAGTTCACTTATTGTTGCCAATTTCCATAGGTGCTGTGCAATGGTGTTTCTCACGTGCAGTGGCTTTTTGGCAACCAAGTCACCACTTTGGGCACCAAACCATCCTACCTATCAGGTCTAATCCCTCCATTTCCCGGGGTCATACTATGACGTTCTCATAGCACAGCAGTAGAAACAGTTTACCAAGTGATTTCACACCCCAACATGCTGCAGGCCCATGAGAAAGCAGGAGGGCTGAAGGGCAGGGGTATGCGAGCCCACGGAATCAGAGTGCTCAGAGGCATGGGGCCTGGGGGACCCTGCTGCTCCGTTCACTGCTTTGATTCCCATCAGCACACAAGGCTTTTCTGGACTGTTCTTAGAGTAACCCAAGAAGTTTGGATGCTTAGCGGGAAACCAGCTGACTTCACCCATCTTTCAGTTCTTTCAAAGTCCTGTTTCGGATAATTCTGACCTATGTATTGATCAGATTATTTTGGGATGGACCTCCGAGCTCCTATTTAATATTTAAGTTGATTAACTGTTTACCATCCTGGAAGTGGATGGCTTATTTTCATGCAGAGATAGAGGAACTTCACATATTTCCTAAGATGGAAAAAGTTCAAGACTACCTCTCAGTTGTATTTTTTTTAACATTTTCCACACAAGATATTCAGAAAAAAAAAATTTTTTTTTAGTATGAGTTTGTGCTCTAGCCAAAAGACATTCCTGTTCTGTGTCTAACAGCATGTATGTGTGGACTACAGCACAGCAGCTAAGCCTGGGAAGCATGTGCCGGGGCATGCACCATCTATGCTCATACCCAATGTTTCCCTGTCTACCAGAACCTCACAGCCCCAGGTCTCTGGGATGTAGTTGCAGCTCATCACTTGGTCCCACAGCCTTCTTTCCCAAATGTCCTTGTCTGAAGTAGCCAAAACCTCTTTTGCCTGCTAGGTACATTGGGGTCACTGACATTATTTCATCTATTATACTGAAGAACAATTTGTAATTCATATTATTTCACTGAATTTACTTGGTGTTTTAACACTTCACATGCTAAATTAATAATCTGATTTCCATTTCTGTCTTTCCTATAAAATATGTGATGAACACATTTTCTAGAAAGGCATACTCTGGTAAGTTCTTCAGGTACAGATGTGAAATTACAGAGAATTTAAGAGATATATTCAAAGCATCCAGTAATAAAACAGCAAATAGCAAATGACAAATCATGACAACTGTAGCTTAGAGCCATCTTAAGAAGCATCAGATTCACAGCAACACATGCTTACACAACCAGCATCAAAGTTTACTCCACAGAAGCATTTGAGATTGCTGTTCATATCATGATTGGAGTTATTGGTCCATAGGTGTATGCAATTATTAAAACTCATTGAACTGTACAATGAAGACATTTTCTGTTTCTGTATTTAAATTTTACTTAAAATTTAAAAGTCCAGGCTGGGAAGATGACTTAGTTGATAAAGCATTTGCCCTGCAAGCAAGGACCAGAGTTCAGATCCCCAGAACCCATGTAAAGACTGGCAAGTGTGACAGCCACCTGGACTCCCAACACTTAGGAGGCAGACAGGAGATCTCTAGGACAAGCTAGACTAACCATAATCAGTGAGGTCCAAGTTCAGCAAGAGACCCTTTGTCAATCAAAGTAAAGTGGAAAGTGATCAAGGAAGACATTGGATGTCAAGTCTTCTATGCATGAATGCACACACATTCACCCAGTTATGTGCAAACACACACACACACACCACCACCACCACCACCACATATACCTACAATAAAATAAATAAATAAATAAATAGCCTAGAACTTGGTGGCAACAGGAAGACAGTGAGTTTTAAACCAGCCTGG